GAGCCGTAAAGGGAGATTGCCTAGCAAGCGATAGAGACGGCGGAATAAGGGTAAGGATCGTACGGGAGATTGGATTTTACATTAGGCTTCGGGACTCTTTTCATGTAGAATACACGGGAGAATACACGGGAGAGCTTTAATTGAAGAATCTGAAGAATCGTCAAAGTACCCGGAAAAGCCGGGGGAGCCGGAAGAACCGGAGGAATCGGCGGGCTAAATCGTCGAAATTTTTAGCTGCTTAAACAGGAATAATTTTGAAATATTAAACGTGCAATTACCCGGCGCATTCACGGTGCTGCGCTGCTGAGACACGGGTGCAACGTAGGGTGCATAAGGGAGTAAGCGTAAATGAGAAACATGAGAGCGAGAGAGCGAGAGGGAGAAGACGGGATGCACACAGCAGCAGCAGCCTCCCTCTGACAGCGCGACACAGAGCGCACTGACTGAAAGCGACGATGAAAAGAGGTTGCACGTGAAAGATGAAAAGCTTTAAATAAGAGACGCGACTGTTGGGTATCTTGAACGTTGGTAGCGTTGGTAGCGTTGGTAAGGTTGGTAAGGTTGGTCACGTAGGCGATGTAGATTATAGATTGTGGGCGAGTTACAAAGGTAAACAGTTGAAACGTACTTTGCCGACATGGATCGCTACGAAGACGCAGGTCAAGACCAGAGTGGAGGCTCCAATTATCGTAATGCCCTAAGTGAGAAGCTTGAGAGCGTCTTGTGACATACGCGAGCGGCGTCTGAACTCTAAGACACGCAAGATGGTGGATGCTGATGGGCAAAGAGAGGAACATCAAAGTCAAAGCAACGAGGCTCCCGCAACGGGGACGCTGTGACAATCGAAAGAACTTGCAGGTATTATGCAACCGTGACACGTTTTCTTTTGAAGGAGCAACTTGGGGGGCAAGTACCTGGGACATAATGTACAAGGGAGAAGGCATACGAGTACGCACACACGGTTATCGAAGCGCCATTTCGGCGACACGATGGGACACCAGAGTTTACGGGCTGCCTCGTCACGCGAGAGCTTAGCTTATCTGAATACAGCAACATATCTGAGGCTTCCGTCTCGGAAGCCGAACTTTGAGTCGAACGCAAAGTAAAACTACTGACGGCATGACGAGCGGGGCACGAGTTGCTCTGCCGAGCAATACTTGGTCCAAAAATTGTCAGTCAGGAAAATCTATCCCGCTTTCGAAAGTTCTGTCGAAGATTAAGCTACGATTTATTGCAGCCCAACAGGACAATAGATTACCTGCTCGATGGATTCCCGTTAGAATATTCAGACAACAGTTGATCGAGTGACCGGCTGATAACGTTTAGTGGAGCATAAATATGAAAGAGCAAGTAGAAGGTCTTCCCCTGTTTTCGCTTAAGCACAGTAGAATTTCGAGGATTGTCACTGAGATTCGAAAAATCAGTGAGCAAATATAAAAATACCTAAAGGCCGTTATGACTGGAAATTTAAGTGTCGAAGGTCTCAAGACAGTCAATAATATGATAGATAATAAAATAAAATATTTAAGGACGATCGAAATTACAGTTGATTCTCCCTATAGGGCAACAATCTTGTCCTCGAGCAGAACATGCTAGAGAAACAGGAGAGACACTCTGTTGGAATACAAGGAACAAAAAAAAAAAGAGGAACCTTGGCTTCTCTTCCATTTGGTTCGCCGTGCTGCAAAGCAGCCCTCCGTGCACAATGCGTCAAGTGGTACAGCGACAAGAAGACAGCGCTAGTTGCCCGACGTGAGCCTGAATAAATGATGAGTGGCGCAGACTCTCGAGGACTCTCGTGGCTTAAGAAACTCTTTAGGAATACTGTTAGGTACTGGCGGTGAGCCGTGCCTAAGATATATGTACGTACGGGTATCCCGGAAGCGTCGTAGTCGAGCCAAGATAGAGAGACGG